TAATACGCCTGCTTCCCCCTCCATCTGCACCTGGGTAGCCTGGTACTGTGTCGAATCATCAGACGCAGGTGGAGTTTATGCCCAGCGGGATGGTGATGTGCTTTCCCCTTTGTACTGGCTTAGTCACAAGAGTAAATCCATGAGACAGCCTCTGATGTTTTGTTCCATCTCCTTGAACCAGGCTGGGTCAGTCTGGGGGGCCAGCACATTGTGCCGGTTGGCAGAAGGGTAGGAGAAAGAGCAGCCGAGAGCCTTGGAAAAGAGATGCCAAGACTGAACAAGCCAGGGGCCTTTTCACCCCGGGAGATGGTCGTCTCCCTCTCCCGCTCGCAGTGCACTGTTGGAGAAGCTGCTGCCTGTCCTGCCCCTGCCCTGTGGATAGAGAAGGGATTTTCGCCTCCAGGGCTGTCGGTCTGGCACCTTTCACCAGCAGCATTAAATTCACAAGGAAAAGGGGCAGGGAAAAAAATCTCCTCTTCTAAAATTAGAGCCTGGTGTGTGAAAAGCTTGAGAGCCTGGCCTGCTGTTTGCATCTCACCTCGCACCTCCCTGGTGGCAGCACTCTCTTGTGCTTCATCTAGCTCCTGCTTTCACGCTGCAGAGCATCCGCCCACTGGCATGGGGAAGGCCACAGCCAGTGGAACCAGCTCTACTGTGTGAATGGGGCACAATGCTGGGACTCGCCCTACAAGGGGTCATCCTAGTGCTTGAAAGCGGTGTACCTGGGTGCCCGGATAGCTCCTTCCTGCTTTAACTCTGGGATACTGGGCGGGGGGAAGGGAGAGGGGTTGGTTGTCAATGGTGTGAAAATAACAATTCTGCTAAATAAATCAGAAGATTTATTTAATGCCAGCCACCCCCATCTCTGGATCCTTCTGTGCTCTCAGCAAAAGCTGGAGGAAAATGTTTCTGACGACACATTTTTTTGGTGGATGGAAAAAGGATTCAACAGAAATGTTTGCACATTTTTGGGGGGTGGGGTTGTTGAAACCCCCCAAAGTGGAAACCATTGGCTTGTTTTATGCCCCACTAAATAATAATAACAAAAAATTAAGAAAAAATATTGAAGAAAACAGGAAGGGAAGAAAATGTTTTTGGTGAAAATTTTACCAGCTCTCCTGTGAGCTGAAGTATAGGAGTAGTCCTCTCTCCACCAGGAAATCTCTTCCCCAAACCACCGTGTCTCCAATGCAGGAGGGTTGGGGAACAGCTTCAGAATCATTCCCGTGGGACATTGAGCAGTGCGTTGAGGTGCTCTTCATAGAATCCTAGAATCCTAGGGCTGGAAGAGACCTCAGGAGTCATCGAGTCCAGCCCGAAGCAGGACCAACCCAACTCAATCATCCCAGCCAGGGCTTTGTCAAGCCGAGACTTAAAAACCTCGAGGGATGGAGATTCCGCCCCCTCCTTAGGGAACCCATCCCAGTGCTTCCCCACCCTCCCAGGGAAATAGTTTTTCCTAATATCCAACCTAGACCTCCCCCACTGTAACTGTAACCTCTTCCCTCCACACTCAGCCGGCATTGGTGAGCAAGAGCCCTGGACTGGAATTGGATCTTGATCGGGCATGTGACAATGCGATAGCTCGTAACCTTCGGGTTAAGCCTATTCCATCGGTGGCTCTCCCTGGCAGAGGTCCATGTGACAATGCGATAGCTCGTAACCTTCGGGTTAAGCCTATTCCATCGGTGGCTCTCCCTGGCAGAGGTCCATGTGACAATGCGATAGCTCGTAACCTTCGGGTTCAGCCTATTCCATTGGTGGCTGTCCCTGGCAGAGGTCCCTGTAACACCATGTCTCCAGGACCCGTGTCTGGGATAGCTGGTTACAAGCAATGTCTTCTACTGGGCAGGGTTGGCTGGAGCCTCTCTCAGCCTCTGACCTTGTGTCTCCCCAGCAGGACGTCAGAACACCATGTCTCCAGGACCCGTGTCTGGGATAGCTGGTTACAAGCAATGTCTTCTACTGGGCAGGGTTGGCTGGAGCCTCTCTCAGCCTCTGACCTTGTGTCTCCCCAGCAGGACGTCAGTCAGCCTGGTGAGGAGCTACAGCCTTGCGCCCGAGCACACTTTCTACCTCATTCCACTGTAGGATCCAAACCCGCTCATCAATAGGCAAAGAGCATATTCAACCCCAGTTAGGATTTACTTTTCCCTGGGCCCAGGCTGTGACTGGGGGAGGGGGAAAATGTGCATGTGCCTTGGACCTCCCCCACATCTTAGGCGCATTGCTCAAGAGTCAAGAACATTGATAGTCCTGAACTCAGGAGAACTCAGAGACTGCTGAGTCCAGGACCCCTTCGCACCCCTCGCCCAGAAAGGGATCAGGGGAGACTTTGGCCCTGTTGATGTGCCTCTCACTGCTCTAAATGTTGGCCAGAGCACAGGGTAAGTACTGTCCTTCGTGACACTCTCCCTGGGGCTCACATCGCCTCCTCCTCAGGCCTGTGCTTGTCTGGCCCAAGGCAGGCCTGCACAATTCGCAGTGAGACAACCCCAGATAGCAGCAAGCATAGCCCAGCTGGGCCTGCCCTGTCCCTGTCCCTGTGCTGCCAGATCTCATTCCTCCTCTCCCCGAAAGAAATCAAAACTGACTGGAAGTCCCCGGCCTGGACCGATGGGCACTGAACCAGGTCCCTGCTGACACATGCAGGTTTATGGATCGCAAGCTAGACACCCACCGATAGAGACCTGGAGTGACACTGCCTCCCCCGCACCCACCCAAAAGGTGGGGTCATGAGTTGTGCTGTCGGATGTGGGAGGGAAGAGGCCGGAGACTGAAGGGCAGGCGAGCGACGTAGCTGATGGCAGGTATCAGCTGCAAGCTTTCACTGCAGTCCCTTCTAAACAGCTCAGACCATCCTTCCAGACTAAGCTGAAGCGCCAGCCTTGACAGATGAAATGAAGATGATGCTGCCTCAGGCACCTCCAACCTCCTGCCCCCACCCTTGCTGGCTTTTAACCATGGAGCATGTTTGAACAGGCTTGGATGCTTTGGATGGGAATCTAGAAAAGAACAACAAAAATTAAGCGTAGGGCTGCAGGGACTGGCCAAGCTCAGCTCCGGCTCAGTGGTGACCAACTGGGGGGATACGAGGACCATCTGTAAGGACTTGGAAGGTGTGAACTCCAAAGATCCTGTCCAGATCTTCCTTACGCCACTTTTTCCCAAATGTCAAATCTCCTGGCTTCAGCGTAGTCACTCCTGAGTTCCTCGCAGGTGAGATCAGAATCTGCCACAAAGTGAGCGAGGGACTGGGCAGGGTAATTCAAAGCTGTGCTACTGGAAGTCAGTGAATTGAAGCTGAGCTAAAGGAACTTCAGGAAAAGCTTCTGACAGTGGTGTGTGTTCGGCTGCAGAATAGCCTCACGAGGGAAGTGGTGGATACCCCATCTCTAGGGTCATTTAAACACAGACTAGAATATAATGGACAGACTAAAAACATAAGAACGGCCGTACTGGGTCAGAACAAAGGTCCATCTAGCCCAGTATCCTGTCTGCCAACAGTGGCCAGCACCAGGTGCCCCAGAGAGGGTGGACCGAAGACAATGATCAAGCGATTTGTCTCCTGCCATCCCTCTCCAGCCTCTGACAAACAGAGGCCAAGGACACCATTTCTATTCCCTGGCTAATAGCCTTTTATGGACCTAACCTCCATGAAATTATCTAGCTTCTCTTTAAACTCTGTTATAGTCCTAGCCTTCACAGCCTCCTCTGGCAAGGAGTTCCACAGGTTGACTACACGCTGTGTGAAGAAGAACTTTCTTTTATTAGTTTTAAACCTGCTACCCATTAATTTTATTTGGTGTCCTCTAGTTCTTCTACTAACCCGGCTACCCCTCTGAGATGTTAGAATATCATGGGCAAGAGATCCCTGCATTGGCTGGGGGAAGACGATGACTCTGTATTCTGAGTACTTCCTGGCAGACTTCTCCTTAGAGACCCATTTTGACTATGGATTTCCATTTAATTTTTGCAGCTAATGGGACTTGCTAGTATCTCAGCCTAGGGCTGAGTGAGATGTTTAGCTATAACTGCCAAGTGCCCGCCACCGCTCTTGAGTCAAATGAGACACTTCTGTGAGCCTCAGCGCAGGCCTGTGGAAGTCGAGATCGGCGAAAGCTCCCCATTCTGAATTCTTACAGGCTGGCTGTGTCCCACTCATGTTCAGTGTTCTTTACCACAGTAACGTTGCCCTCGTCCGGGGCGGGGACCCTAATGCCCGGGGGCTGGATGCAGCTATGATTTTTCTGTGGCTCAGTGGCCTGACCCAAGAAAGTTCCCCACCCCTGCCCTAGTCCAACTGGAGCTCTGCTGGGGGATAGTATTTTGATCTCTTTTTAAGTTGTGGCTCTGGGAAGACCAGAGGTTTTTGTTAACATGCACCTCAGTATGGGTTGAACCTCTCTAGTCTGGCATCCTCGGGACCTGACCGGTGCTGCACCAGAGAATCTGCCGAACCACGGGAGGGCAATATTGTCTAGCAGCATCACCAACACTTCCCCTGCTTCCTGGGATGTTAGAAAAAGTATAGAGTAAATTAGAGCTAAATAACAGCACAGAACCCTGAGAGCCAGGACTGGTGGCTGTAAACAAAATTATGGAAACTTGGCCACACTCGTAAGTGAACATCCATCTAACTAAAATCATGCTGGGCCACAGATGTTGCCAGACCAGAGAGTGTTGTTAGTAGTAGCAGTGTTATCCTTGTTTTACTTATTTGTATGGTGGTAACATCTCAGAGCTCCAGTCCTGAAGGGGACCCCATTGTGCAAGGCAAATACAGAACAAAACGCTTACAAACTAAGTCTAAGAGTTGAGATGAAAGGTGGAAACAGACAGACTGGGGAGCATAAACAAAGGTACGCCTACAACCTACCCATTGTTAAATATTTGTAAGTATACTGGCAAAGGTGCCCTTTAAAAGCAAATTTGAAGGCGAAAGGAGGTACTGTTAATCTGTCTTGACCTTGTTTGATGTGCTTTTTCTCTCTCTGCAGCGAGTTCGCCAAAGAGCGCGAGAGGGTAGAGAACCGCCGGGCCTTCCTGAAGCTGCGTAGGCAGCAGCAGATTGAACGAGAACTAAATGGGTACTTGGAGTGGATCTTCAAGGCAGGTAAGTAGAGAGCCTTATGACGATAAGCAACCTTGTGTTGAAATGTTAAGCCTCTACCATTTTCAAATAGCATTTTAAACCTGACCCACTTTGCCGGGCGCACTGTCCTCCCAGCTCACTAAGTTGCACCCACAAAATATGCTGCTGCAAGCAAATAACCGTGTGCTCAAAATAGACTATTGCACGTACAAAATGAGTTAGTGCTTGCATTGTTTCATTCTGTGCCTATGCCTGCCTCTTTGTTCCTACTTGTAACTGATGCACAGCTTAGATGCCGAAAAAACCAGCCTCATGTCTCTTCAGTGGCTTCATTTGTTTTCCTTTATTTCACGGATGGCTTTTACCCCTCTGCAAACCCAACCATGGATAGCTCCGCCCCTGTGTGAATTCCTCTGGGGTTTGAAGAAGAGATCACAGTAGTCAAGCAGAAGGTGATAGTGGCCTGGCCAAAACTGTTGACAGTCTGGTCAGAGAGGAAAGGCAAAGCATTGAAATATTGAGGAGGAGGAAGATGGAGCAGCAGTTTGTATGATGACCGGAACCTGTCATTCCACACAGTACTCTGGAGAGTGACAGTCAAAAGCCAATTGTATTGACCAAGCTTTATTGGATGTAACAGCTCAACAGGAACTACCTGCAATTAGTTAGATCAAATATTCGAAAGGGTAACACACAGACACCTGTTGGGGAACATTTTAACTTGCCCAGGCACTCATTAATGGACCTCAAAGTTACCATATTATTACAAGCCAATTTCGCAAACCATCTTGAAAGGGAAGCTGCAGAACTTAATTTTATTTACAAGTTTGATACTTGCAATAGCGGTTTAAACGAAGACCTTAACTGGATTAACTGCCACATTCCACATCCTAATGACATAAAAAGCCAAGCACTGGGTACTTAAGAGTACTTAGAATCCACTCTATCAGCTTCATTTAGCATGGGCACTCTAATTGACAATTTCTTTCCTTCTCTATTTATTGTACATCTGACCCCCTAACTCCATTCATCTGAAGAAGTGGGTTGTATCCACAAAAGCTCATGGTACTATCTACATTTTTTTGTTAGTCTCTAAGGTGCTGCAGGACCATTCATTGTTTTTTAAGTTTTTTCTGTTACAGATTAACATGGCTAACCCTCTGAAACTACCTGCAATGAATTAACCACCATTTATCTCCCTTTAATTCTGTGGTTCCCTAGCACTCAAGAAAGGCCCCATTCATATTGCTTTCCGTTCATAAATTGTCCCTACATTTGTTTACAACTTTGTGCTACTTGGAATTAATTAAAGGTGTATTGAATAGCTAGAGCAGAGGGTGCCTCAATTCTAATCCCATCTCTTGCTGCCTTGCTTTAGGGGCCCTTGCGACTTCCTGATCTCTCTGAGCCTCAGGGTATGCCGACACTGCAGAGGGAGGTGTAATTTCTGGCTCAGATGTAGGTATGCGTGATAGCTTTGATGGATCCAGCATGCTGAATATAGCACTGAGTGTAGCTAAGCCTACCTAAGTTCTTACATAGGTACTCTAGGTGGTTAGCGCAACCCACCACCCACTCTGGCTATATTTAGTGTGGTAGCTCAGTCAGAGGTATGTCTACCCCAACTAGAAACTATATCGCAGCTCCAGTGCAGACATACCTCAGTCACCCCATCCGCTAAGTGAAGATAGCAACACCGTTCCTGCAAAGGCATGTCTTGCCTTTATTTGGATTGGATAAGGAGCTTTGATGCACAGTTCCTTTCTGCAGAACACAAATGCCAGAGGTATCACTGGAAGTGGTTGTTGGAAAATGGAGGTGTGTACGTTGCAGAACATGCAGCAAAGTCCCTTCCCTTCCATTTGCCCATCACGGTGGCACCTCTCTGTGGGAATGTCTGGCTGCTGTGTCACGTTGCCTCTCCACGTCTACATGAGGGTGCAGTACACACGCGACATGAAATGCCTATTGCTTCCATTTTGTCCAGGGACATATGACATTTAGAATGGGAAAGCTTAAAGGCAGCTGCTGAATCGGGGAATGGTGATGAAACAGTCCTACAGAGGCAATGTTGGAAATACAATAGTAATGTAATATAGGCTCCTAGTGCAACCTGAAGGAAGCTTTGTGCAGCAGAAAATAAAATAGTAGCTAGGTTGGGAAATCATTAAATGCAAAAAATAGCATTGGGGGCTATGCTAAGGTGGAGAAATCAAGTGCTTAAAAGTCAGGGGTTGAAATCTTGCCCCCAGTGAAGCCAGTGGGTGTTTTGCCAGAACTGGCTGCTTCAGAAGAAAATGAGACCCGCTTTGCGGACAGTCCTGGACCAGCCAGCCCACGTGGCTGTTTAAGGGATGCTGAAGTCAGAATACCAGCGGTGAGCTGGTAAATCTCCAAAGCAACGTACCTTTGACGGATGCAGAAATGGCCTTAACTGCAGCTGCTTTAATGGAGAAGCTCGTAACTTTGGCAGAGGCGTATCCAGTTGAGGCATCTGAAACAAAGGTGTGCTGAATGGTGACATCCTGCTTGCATGAGTTATACTTAATACAGGAAGCCTTAATTGCGGGAGTACTTAAGAAATGCTTTCTTAACAAAAGGATGGGAAAAGAAATCGAAAGCATTGGATTTAAATATGCATGACTTTAAAAAATACACCCATTTTCTTACCGCTTGCATTGATTTCCCCCCCGAAATAGTGTTATAAAACAAGCTAGGTATTTCCGAGCCCTGCAAATGCTAATATTTCAGCTGGAATTTAATTAGAAGAGTGGTTTTGGTATTTTTAGCACTTCCAAGCTTAAAAACAGCCAGTTTTACTTAAACTTCACAGAAGAACTTACCTTGGGGCTGAGACAAAGCATTGAACATTTTAGCTCAACGGAATTTGATTGAGGGAGTTGTGAGTGACAGGAATAGAGGAGCCACTCCAGAAACTGCATCTCTGCTCTGGGTGAAGGTTTCTGAGAGTGTTTAGGAGAGAAGAGTTATGTTGCAGGAAGACTAGGCCTGAGAGGAGTCCTGCATTTGGCCCTAAGTGGGGTATGAACAACCTCATCTCTTGGGAGCAAGAGGCCATCAGTCTGAATTCAGCTCCTGTCTGTCTATGCCTGGGATATGGGCATAGGGGTCATGACGAATGGTTAGAGCAGGTGATGGTAGTCAGGGAAATGGAGTCAGCGCCAGGGATAATCAGAGCTGGAGTCAGAAGATAACAGGAATTGAAGCTGAGGTTCAAGACTGGGGTTCTTGGTGTGAGACCGGACAGGAGTAAGATCTATCAGAGCTGTGGGTGCATGCGTTGAGCTGTGGGTGCATAGGAGCTGGTTTGCTGACTCTTTCAAACTATCAGACGGCATAACCAATTAGGTAGCCTACTATAGGCTAGCTGCAAGTTGCTAGGAGATTAACTTTGCTACTGGCCCCCATTCTTGAATTTGTCAAAGGTCTGCTTCCAGGCTGATACTGAACTGCTGAACTGGCTGATAGTTTCCCGACTCCAGTAGCTAGGAGCAGTCCTGTGGAAGGCTTTGAATATCAGGGCAGAGAGCTTAAACTGGAATCTGTATTCACTTGGGGTACGTCTAAACTACATGGCTCCGTCGATGGAGCCATGTAGATTTGTTTGTTCGGCAAAGGGAAATGAAGCCGCAATTTAAATAATCGCGGCTTCATTTAAATTTACATGGCTGCCGCACTGAGCCGACAAACAGCTGATCAGCTGTTTGTTGGCTCAGCGCGCTAGTCTGGACACTCCCCTGCCGACATGAAAGCCCTTTATCGACCTCCCTGGTAAACCTCATCCTACGAGGCATAACGGAGAGGTCGATAAAGGGCTTTCAGGTCGGCGCGGGAGCGTCCAGACTAGCGCGCTGAGCGGACAAACAGCTGATCAGCTGTTTGTCGGCTCAGCGTGGCAGCCACGTAAATTTAAATGAAGCTGCGATTATTTAAATCACGGCTTCATTTCCCTTTGCCTACAACCCTCATCTACATGGCTCCATTGATGGAGCCATGTAGTTTAGACACAGCCTTGGAGAGCCAGTTCAGAGAGCAAAGCACTGGGGTGATGTGTTTATGGTACCTCATGTTATGAAGCAGAAGGGCTGCAGCATTTTCTACCAGTTGGAGCTTTTCCAGGGTGTGGGGCTCCGTTTGGAGAGACAGCGAGGTGCATTAATCAAGGCTGGAGGTTACAAATGTGTGGATCACTGTGTGTCAGGGTGAGGTGCAGATTCCTGTTCAGCTGTGGATGAGGCTGCCTGCTTTTTACTGCAGTGGCCCTTTGGACATCCAGTAGCACCTAAGACCCCCAAAAGGACCCCAAAGCTGTGGACCATCTCAACTCTCTGAGTACAGATGCCGTCAGTGGAGAGGGCTTGTTATAGAGGAATTGGCTTTGCCCTAGTAAGCCGATAGCCTGCATTCACAGGTGATCCAAGTTAGCCATGGAGGGAGATGGAGAGAGGAGGAGATGGGCACAGCAGTAAGACCATGGAGGGGTTACTCATTCCAACCTGTGCCCGTCTTGATGGCTCCCTCGCAGTTTTGTGGGGGCGGAGCTATAATTTTCTCGTATGAACTCATTGTGCATAACTTCTCAGGGGGTAGCTGTGTTAGTCTGTAACTTTGAAAACAATGAGCAGTGCTGTGGCACCTGAGAGTACGTCTACACAGCAGGGCTAAATCCGAAATAAGCTACGCAACTTGAGCCACGTTAATTGCGCAGTTTGAGTTGAAATAGCTTATTTCAGATTTTGACACTGTCTATGCAGCAGCAAGTCCAAGAAAGAGCACTCTGCCTCCAACTTCCCTTACTCCTCGTAAACGAGGGTTACAGGAGGTGGAGTAAGAAGTCCTCTGGCTGGATATTATTCTGACGTTATGTTGAAATAATTGCTTGTGTGTACACGCGGACTGTGTTATTTCAGAATAACATTAGGTATTCTGAAATAATGCTGCTGTGTAGACGTACCCTTAGAGACTAACAATTGTATTAGGTCATGAGGTTTAATGAGTAA